AGAAGGATTACCATTTCATAAGTCATTACTTTTTGGACAGTATCACCCCCTCCTTTGTTCTTTCCTAGTTTTACCTCCCATCCCCACCCACAAGTTATCTAGTTCATTTTCAATATTGTATCTGCACTGTGTACTCCTGGATTTTTTTCATTCTTTCTTCCTCCATTTGTGTCACCCTTACCTCTTCCCCCCAAAACAGATAATCAAACAAGACCAAAAACTCTTATTTCCATTTCCTGGAATTCATTTCAATAGATATTATTTTATATGATTGGAGGCATTATACCTTGGGATTCCTCCCCTGAGAGTATCCTCTTTTGGTTTCTGTGTGAATGCCAAGAGTCCTATATAATTAATCATTTTCCATTGTATTTTAGATATAGCTTCTGCATATGAGAGAAAACATGTGCCATTGGTCTCTTTGACCTTGGCCTACATCACTTCACATGATTTGTTCTAGGTCCATCCATTTCCTATAAATAACATAATATTATTCTTTCTAATGGTTGTGTAAAATACCACATTTTTTTTCTTTACTTGTCTATTGTTGAGCTCTGGGCTGTTTCCATACCTTGGCTATAATAGTGCAGCAATGAACATGGATGTGCAAGTGTCTTTATGGTATGCTGGCTTGTGATATTCTGGGTGGTCGCCGAGGAGTGGTATTGCTAGGTTAGAGGGAAGATCTATGTTTAGACCACTGTCCAGAGTGGTATACTAGTTTACATTCCTACCAACAGGACATCCCTGCCAGCATTTGTTGTTTAAAATAAACGATGTTGGTCAATCTAACCTCAGTTTTGATTTGCGTTTCCTTTATGACAAGGGATGTTGAGTATTTCCTCATATGTTTCTTTGCCATTTTTAACTCTTCCTATAAGAAGTCGCTCCTTAGCTCCTTTGCCCATTTAGTGATTGGTTTATTAGTGTTGGGAGGGGTTAATTTCTTGTATATTTTGGATATTAGGCCTTTGTTGGATGTATTTGCTGGTAATGAACTTTTCCCAGTCTATTGGCTGTCTTTTTAGTTTAGTAACTGTCTTTTGCTGTGCAGACCTTTTTATTTTGATGTAATTCCATTTGTTCAGTCTCTCTTCGATCTTTTCTTCCTTGAATTAAAAAAAAATTTGTTGGTCGTGGGGCCTAAACTCTGGGTCTGGGCACTGTCCCTCAGCTCATGCTGGCTTTTTATTGCATGTGTGGTACTGAGGAATCGAACCCAAGGCCTCATGCATGCAAGGTAAGCACTCTACCACTGAGCCACCTTCCCAGCCCTGAATTTTTTTTTAAAGAAAGGTAAAACCCTTTCTTTTCTAAAAATATAACTTTGGCAATATCCTTTTATCTGTCCTTTTTTTATAATTTAGCCCATGTTTGTCCATGTGATAAGGGAAGTATTCAGAGACTGTTCTTTACAGTTCTTGGCGAGATGTATGTAATATAATGTGATATATTGAGGAGAAAGCAAGGGCAGCAAGCTTCCCAGCCCTGACTCCTCTTGGTGGCAGAATCAGAAATGTGCCTTCCTATATGGCTTGATTTCTGTTAATCCAATTGCCTTCTGAATACCCAGTGTTCTCTTCATTTCCAAAGAAGAGATTCTAGAAAAGGTGATTTAGAAAAGAATGCATGTCAAAGTAGCATAACAAATTGACAGATGTGGAGTATGATCTGGGCTTTGGGGTCAGAGTGTGATCATATGAAAGTACTCCTCATAACCCGAGTTTCTTTCCTTTTCCTCTCCTCTTCCTCTACCTAATCTCCCTTCTAATCTCCCTTCCCTTTCCCCCTCCCCTCCTTTCTCTTGCCTTTCTTGGGGCTTGAACTCAGGGCCTGGATGCTGTTCCTGAGCTTCTTTTGCTCAAGACTTGTGCTCCACCACTGGAGCCACAGCTCTGCTTTTGGCTTTTTTGTTCATTTATTGAATTTAAGAGTCTTACAGACTTTCCTGCCAGGCTGGCTGATCTGAGATCTGATGTGATTCTCCCATCCCAGCCTCCTAAGTACCTAGGATTACAGGTGTAAGCCACCAGTGCCCAGCTATCCTAGGTCTATCTGTAAAATGAGCATAATGATAAATATGTCAGGAGTTGATTGGAGGATTGGATGAGCTGTTAGGTGTGAATTCTTAAAATATTATATCCTGGATCCAAAGGAGACTCCAAGACACCCAGTTAAAGGAGCTAGGGACTTTATTACAGCCACACAGGGTCTGCTTCCTACGACCAGGAAAGTAGGAGAAAGGCCTTGAGCTCACTGTAAGGTAGGTTTTTATAGGGGTAGGTTACATTGAGTTACATAGACAAGCCATGCGAGGCAGGTTTGACACATTTTCATTGGTTATGTTTATATGACCTTTAAATTCATTTGTTCTTTATGGTAAATATCATACATAGTAATTTGCAATAGGCTGCCCATAGTGGGACCACTTGGTGGTGGTCTGCAATTGGAGGACAGAGGTGATGTCACCTGTGGGCTTAAGGCTTTGCTACTGAGGCAAGCAAGCAAGGTTACAGAAGCAGAAGCATGGCCTTGCGTCACAAGAGCATAAACAAAACATAATCTTGATTGGTCAGCATGACGATACTATCAATGCTATTGACACTATTACAGAAATGATTTTTATTATACCCTTCTGACTAATACAACAACTCAGTGCAGCTGGTGATAAGCCTCAAGGTTGTCAGTAGCCTTCTGAAAAGCTGTCAGCTTGGTAAACTTGAGTGAGGGAGAGATGCTTTTTAGCAAGGATGGGAAAGAGGCAGAGGCTGACTACTGGTCAGCCTTTGTCTGGGGTTTTTCTTTACCAAGAGTTTTTTGCCCTTTATCAATAAATTTTTTTTTTCTGTCAGTCGTGGGGCTTGAACTCTGGTCCTGGGCGCTGTCCCTGTGCTCTTCAGCAAAAGGCAAGTGCTCTACCACTCTGCAACTTCAGCCACATCTTCACTTTTGGCTTTTTTTTTTCTTTTTCCTTTTTTTTTTCTTGTGGTTAATTGGAGGTAAGAGTCTCATGGAGTTTCCTGCCTTGTCTGGCAGGAATCCTCAGATCTCAGCCTCTTGAGTAGCTAGGACTACAGGCGTGAGCCACCAGCGCCCGGCTTATCAATAATTTTGTTCTGTTTTCTGATTTCACATTTTTGTTCTAATGGATACCCTTCTTTTCCAAGGGAAAGGGGGTTCAGGGAGAGAATAAATTTCCAATAACAGGAGGGACTGAGACCAGACAATAGGAGAAACTTTCTGCCAGTGAATATCAACTCAGAAATTACAAAACAATGGTCAGGCACTGGTGGCTCATGCCTGTAATCCTAGCTACTCAGGAGGCTGAGATCTGAGGTTCAAAGCCAGTCTGGGCAGGAAAGGCCATGACATTCTTATCTCCAATAAACCACTAGAAAAACCAGAAGTGGTGCTGTGGCTTACGCGGTAGAGCGCTCACCTTGAGCTGAAGAGTGCAAGGACAGTGCCCAAGCCCAGAGTTCAAGCCCCACGACCGACAAAAAAAAATGTATATATATATATATATATATATATATATATATACACACACAAAAACAGCACTGGTATTAGCATCAATTAAGTTAGGTTCTTGACATCAGCACTTTTGATAATATTGGTCCAGATAATGTTTTGTTGTAGGCAGTTAATTCATTGTTCATGGTTACCATCATTCCTGATCTTCCTATACTGACACAATGAAGTGTCTCTAGATGTTACCAGATATCCTCTTGGGCAAAATTATAGTCTGGTCTCCTATCTCTCAGAGATGGGATTCAATAACTTCTGGAAGGATTTTGTGTATTTCCCTTTCTTCAGTCACCCTGGGGAATTGTATATTGCAGTTGGAAAAGTCCTGCAGAAAGATCAACAGAATATGCTGTGGCCTTGTATTGAGTCACAATAATCTCATGTTTGATCTTCTTTGATCTTCCCATACATGCTTCCCAGACTCTTGTTGATAAACATTGTTGAGATTGTTCAGATTTTATGGTAGAGAAGCAATGTTCTCTTCAGAGTAGTCCTGGAACTCATTTTTGTAACCTTTTGTTAGGACACAATGGAGGGTAGAAGAAATAGGTAGTAAGGAGAATTTTTGTAACCCTTGGAAAGCAACTCCTTTGGGAACGGAGTATTGAGAGTATTGGTTCCTTTGCGGGGTTCAGGTAGCAGGAAGTTCATGGTTCAGAATCATTCTGCATTCTGGCCAGTGCCCTTATGTTAGCATTCAAGACTTTTCCAAGACTGCTCTGCGATATACAAAACTCTTGAGAGGTAAAAGACGCTCTAAATAGTCACAGGTTTTCCACCTATTTGAGATTTTATAGAATTTGACTTATCTTGCAATTCTCAGAGATAACCAGAAGTAACCTCAGCCCGTATTACAATCTCTGAAGTCTGTACTTTCACCAGCCATTTGAATTTCTAGTGGCCTTCCTTCTACCAGTACTCCATCTTGTGACTCCCTCTGCAGGATGTAATTTGAGGGATCATGAGAGCACTCTGCTACCCTCCCTCTATCTGAAGCTTATCAGAGTACTGCTCAAATATACATCCTATTTTTGAGTGACCATTTTCCTGAGCTGCTGCTGCTGTTCCTCCTCCTCCTCTTTTTTTTTTTGTTTGGCAGCACTGAATTTTGAATTCTGGGCCTCATACTTCCAAAGTAGTCACTCTACCTGTGCCACAGCCTTTTTGACTTATATCTTCAATATATATGTTTGGGGTTTTTTTTGGTGTGGGCTTCCTCTGTAGCTGGAGTAGCAGATGTACCCAGGTTTTTGTTGGTTGGGATGGGGTTTTACAAACCATTGCCTTCAGAAAGGGTTTGGAATGGATAATTTACCTTAATATTTAATCTAAGGTACAATAAGACTTAGGAAAACGAGTAAATTCTTGCCAGAAGAAACACAAAATAGAACCTATATACAAGGAATGACAAATCACAGTAGCATTTAAAAATTGTTTGCTAACCCTTTGTTTTTTTTTGTTGGTTAAGGTTGCATGATGGAATTTGAACATTACCTCAAGAGGTTTCATATTTTGGATTAGTTAATTGTGCTCATCCTCTGCTGATCATTTCTTTGGACACAATTTTTGGTGTCTTTTGATTTATTAATGCAAAGAGATTATACCATGGACCACAAGGAAAGCTGCCCAAGTGTAAGCATTCCCAGCTCTGATGAACACAGAGAGAAAAAGAAGAGGTTTACTGTAAGTATGTAATGTGAAGCATTTGGGAAAATTGATTCTAGAGAATATTTCCATTTCCAGTTTTTTTGTTCTTGTCTCACCTAGAATGGCCTTCCTTTCTTCATTTACTTCTGTTAATCTATCTTCCACGAAGCCTTTCCTGGCTTTAAAGCGAACAAACTGTCCTTTTTACTATTGATTTATTTTTGCCACTTTTATTCCCTTGGAGAACCTTAAGAAATTATCTCATAAACTCTTTTAGCCAAATGTGCCTGTAGATACATGCTGATAGACACTAGTAGTTTTGTGTGCAGTTAGTGGGTGTAGACTTCTGATATTACCTATTTCTTGCTATCTTGAAACATCCATTCATATCTTTTCTTATGACATTCATTACTTTCTACCTGTTTTTTGTAATCTTAAGGTGAAGACTATTACTAATTTTGTGTTATTTATTCTGGTGGCATTAGGGTTTGAACTCAGGGTTTCACATTTGTTAGGCAGTGTCTATTATAGGACTTTATAAGGAGTACACACAAAATAGAGTTTCCTTATGGGTTCAATTTCCAGTACTGGGAGAGGTAGGGAAAGAAAGAGTAAACGCAATGAATATTTGCCGAATCAGTGTTATTGGTGACCATTATTGGAAAATGCTCTTTTAGTCCAATTAGTATATATGGAGATCTCCTGCCATCCTTTCTCCTGGAAATAAAAAGAGTACTTATCTTGTTTACAATTGACTTGGTTTCCCTTGTAAATACATGACCTCTAAAGAGCAAGACAATCCATCAAGGCATGGTTAAAGATAACACATTTATTGACACTATTTATACCAGAAAGGGGGCCTGCAACTACCTCTTCCTGGGTTAGATATCCAGAACCAAGAGCAGCCTTTTTTTTTTGGTTGGTCGTGGGGCTTGAACTCTGGGCCTGGGCGCTGTCCCTCAGCTCTTCAGCTCAAGGCCAGGCTTCCCAGCTTGAGCCACAGCCACTTCCGGCTTTCTGAGTGGTTTATTGGAGATAAGAGTCTCACGGATTTTCCTGCCCAGGCTGGCTTTGAACCGTGATCCTCAGATCTCAGCCTCAATGAGTAGCTAGGATGACAGGTGGCCAGCCCCCAACCTTTATTAGTGGTCTGCAAACCTCCAGCCCCAGACCTCCAAAGCGCCAGACCCCGAAGGGGAAGGCTTTTCCTTTTCTTCCCTCCCTCCTCCTCCGCAGGCCTCGCCACTCTCCACAGGCCTTCTACTGAGGCTTTCCCCTCCTGCTGTCTCTCTCCACTCCATGTCTCCCTTCTCTGTCTCTCTAGTTCTTCGTTGCTCTCTACCCCCTACTCTCTTCAGGACTCCCGATTTCCCCCCCTCAGTTTTCCTGCTAACGGTTTCCAACTGCCATTCATGCTCCTCCCCCAAGCTGCCCACTGTCCAATCATTTCTTGACAGCTCGCCATGTGGGGCTCAAGGCCCCACCCACTCCAGTAGCATGCTCCGCCCCTTTTGTGGCATGGCAGGCCTCGGAGGCCCACCCCATGGTGATGTCAGCCTCTTGATGCCCCGCCCCCTCCAGCGAGCCTGTCCACCAGGCCACGCTGATTATGCCCCTCCCCTTTATTACACTATCATCCCCTACTCCTGTCTATGTATTGACTAGTATAAAGAAATTCATGTAACTTAATTCTGTTTAGCACTTAGTTTGATCTATGTAAAAATTTCCTGTCTGTATTAATTATGCTATCATGGTCTTACTTGAGCTCTTACTCTTCCCAAAGGTTGGTAAGTTGGTTTATTTGAGGAGAGGTGTCCCCTTTCATAGTGAATGTTGAGTAGATAACAGTTTTCAAGATAACCTAGTGAAGGTATTGTATTCTTGTCATCCCGCTAGATCTTTATGGATCCCATTGTACAGTGCCTGGTCTGGCGTATATCCAGCTATGGTTTACATGGTCAAGCCATGTGGCACGTTACCAGCATCTGTTATGGCAGCTGCATTAGATGGACTGACTGGGAAATCTCTTCTTTGTTGGCCTATATAAAGTTTCATGGTGTTTTCCATAGCTAAGGAGCACCCTGAACCTGTGGCATATCCTTTCTTGTTCTTTTGGCTTAGTGGTCCACCCTAATGAGTGGTCCCCTGTAATGAAGGAGGTCACCTGACCTTCGCTAGTTTAGCTCCATGACAACTGGCATAGAATCTTTGTCACATAGGAGTTGGGGAAAGCTTAAGAGTTAAACCCTCTGACCAGTCCACTCTGCTTTCTTAACTGTGGAGGTGGGGGCTGGGTCTCCCCCAAATGATGGCTTCCTCCCAAAGTCCCAACAGGGATTTGCCAATATAGCCCTGTGGTTCTCTGCTCTGTCTTCCTAAACAAACACAGTGCTCATATCTTTCACTAAAACCTAGAGCTGAGAGATTGGAGTGTGTCACTGTTATTTACTTCTCCAGCCTCTGGGTTGCGAAGATATTTTAGACAGCATGTGTTTGTTACACATTTGTACAAATCTATTTTTAGTAATATCACATTGGGAAAAAAGTTGTTATACCTTGGATAAAATAGTTCAGACTGAGTTTTCCTTCCTCCTCTCATCTTTTTTTCCCCCACTTTTGGGCCATTCTGTCTTTAGGGAATGACTTCACATGTTGCCCTGTTTGACAGAAGTTTATACATTGCAAATGTAGACAGATTATCTCAGGTGTTCTTTACTTTTTCAGGGTAGAGGTATTTCCATATCTTTTGTGAAAGGGCCAGAGCTGCCTTTAGCAACACTCTTGCCCAGCTGTTCTCAACTGGACCCTTAGTTCTCAAAAACACTGTCTTAAGTCACATTGTTCATTTACTTCCTTCAGATATTCCCAAGTGTTTTCTCATGTAAGAAACTTTTTCTGACACTAACAATGTAAATTATTGCCTTCACACCTTCTTGACCTCTTTCACTCTGTCTTGCTTGCCCTACTAAATTTAATAGTGATTATTACCACCTGATATAGTTTGTGTTTATTTGTATATACATTATCTGCTAGAATGCAGAATCCTATTCTCAGGCCATTCATATAGTTTTCATAGATTCATGCATTGTATTCCAGCATGTCTTCATAAACCAAGTCTATATTTTGATTTATCCATGTGATTAAATTGTCAGTAAGTTTCTATATTATTCCAGATACTATTCTAGGCCCTTTGGGAGATTCAGTGAGTAGCAAAAGTGACACAGCCCTAGCTCTTAAAAAATTTAGATTCTTGGGGCTGGGAAGGTGGCTCAGTGGTAGAGCGCTTGCCTTGCACGCATGAGGCCCTAGGTTCGATGCCTCAGCACCACATAAGCAAAAAATAAAAGCTGGAAGTGGCACTGTGGCTCAAGTGGTAGAGCGCTAGCCTTGAGCTGAAGAGCTGAGGGACAGCATCCAGGCTGAGTTCAGGCCCCACGACCAGACCCCACCCCCCAAAAAAAATTTAGATTCTTGTGGAGCAAGGCAGACACTGAATACTCAGAAAAAGAGAGGATTTCATGTTGTAATAACAAGCATACTGCTCTCTGAGATATTCTGCTTATCTTGCTAAATATTTAAAAAATTTGAAGTTTTCTTTTATACCTAGTAATGTTTTCTTAGAATGTATTTAATAAGCACCTATTTATAATCACACTGTTAATAACTTTGCAAAGCTTGTTACTGTAAATAAATTTGTTACAGAGTCTGTCCATCCTGAAACTTAAAACTTGGTTTTAGTTTTGGCCATCTAACCCTACAAGGGTCCATTCTCCACTCCAGAAAGTCAACACAAAGAACTTATAAAGCTCATAGTCATATAAACCTAAGGTTTTTTTTTGTCCTTTTATAGCAGTGCTGATTCCAAGGCTGTTTCGATGGGTCTATAATCTCTTAGTTTAGTTCACTGGCACCTTAAGTAGATCTTCTACTTTTCCTTCTGTATTCCATATGTTTGAGGGATGCTTATCTTAAAATCAGTTCTGACACTTTACATGTAGTAGCTCTCTCCCTCTTAAGTTAGCTTGATTCCTAGATTACATGCTGTGTCCAATCAATTTATTCATCTCCGTCTAAATGAAACATCCATTGTCCATGTGACTACTACCAGTGACTGCCTCATCATCAGTGCAGCTTTAAACAATATTACAGAAGTCATACAATGTAACCACACATAATATCAAAGCTGTATTTTCCTTATATTATCCAATATGATGTTGTGAATGGAAATTATCTTTCATGGGAAAGGGTAATTGATACACATAGGTGGGTCTGTCTTAAACCAGGTTTTCTCTTCTAAGTTGTCTGGTTGTGAACAATTAAATAGAAACTTCAAAAGCAACCCTTATCTCTCCTTAGTCATCATTGTAAAACATGAGATAACCCAAACTCTACATCAGCCAGCCTTTCTTCATATACCTGGATCTTGTTACTTTATACCCTTTAGAAATTATACAAAATCTTTGGGACCTCAAATTCTTCCTCATATTTATATGTGTTAAATTATATTCTGAGAGTACCTGTGCAATGAATAATGAGAGTCAATTCTCTAACAATTTGATACTAATTCTGGTACACAGAGGATAAAAGATTTTAATTTTATTCTTGGTTATATGTTTTTTAAGCTATAAACTTAACTCTTGGTTATCATTCCTGTCTGTTGGGGTTTGTAATATTTATTTTGCTTCATAGAGTTGTTGATTATGATTATGTGAGATTACATATAAGAAAACATTAGCCATATGTAAGAGGGTATTAGAAATCTAACAAAATTTTTGTTTGGGAAAAATACTGTGTAAAATATGACTTGGAAGGAGCCAAGTAATGGTGGCTCATGCCTGTAATCCTAGCTCATGAGTCTGAAATCAAAGGTTCGAGGTTCACAGCTAGCCTAGGCTGACAAATCCAACAGATTCTCACCTCCAGTTAACCAACAAAAAGCCAGAACTAACACTGGCTTAAGTGCTGGAGGGCAATGAGCAAAAAAGTCAAACGAGAGTGTGAGGCCATGAATTCAAATCTCAGTACTGGCATTGGGGGTGAAAAAATGACTCAGAAGATGATAGCTACGGGGCTGGGAAGGTGGCTCAGTGGTAGAGTGCTTGCCTTGCATGCCTTGAGGCCCTGGGTTCGATTCCTCAGCACCACATAAGCAAAAAGAAAAAAGCCGGAAGTGGCGCTGTGGTTCAAGTGGTGGAGTGCTAGCCTTGAGCTAGCTGAAGAGCTGAGGGACAGCGCCCAGGCCCAGAGTTCAGGCCCCACAACCGGAACCAAAAAAAAAGATAAACTATCTTTAAATCACTAAAGTACCCCTCTGTTGTCTTTTCATTTACAATTATTTTTGTGTTAAAAATGCCCAAAGTCAATTAGTTTATATTTTTCAGGATAAATTTGCTAACAACTGCTGGTGGGGAACAGTGATTACTATTATTTCTTTTTTGTTCTTCCTGCCAATTGTTAGTTTGATCTAAATTTTTTGTATGTGTACATGAGTTTTTGACATCAAACTCAGAGTAAAAGTGTAGCCCATTTTTAAGACCTCACTTCCATCAAATAGATTTTTTTTTAAGGAACATGTTTATCTCTGAATACAAGCAAATCTGGTGAACATAATAAGAGGAAGGCTAGAACAGGGATTTTGAAAGCAAAATTCATCAGCTTTCTTAGAAAATTATTCATTTAGAATAGAATAATTTTCAACTAGAATAGCACATAACACTTCAAACATGGTGTGTAATATGTTCAGAGCTTACATGACTAGGTGAAGCTAAGCTCTCCTTGAAGCAGTACAAGAAACTATGAGTGCTCAAGTCATTGTCATTTTACAGAAAGGAAAATTGAGGCACAGAGATGTAACATATCTAAGGTCACACAGCTACTACTGAGTGTTTTGGTTTTTATGTTTTGGACAAAGTGGGATGGTTTGTAGTATAATTTAATATTGTGTTGATATAAATGTATTGGTCCAATTGGTATAGTTATATTGTAATTAATATTATATCGATATAATTTAATAATGTACAGTGAATAATCATGTTTAAAGTATAAAGTTTAAAAATCAGATCATTTGGTTAATGTATAACTAGAAAATCTTTAAAATTAATAATATTTGTAATGCTATTTTAAAAAAAAATTCTAGCTAAAGAAACAATTTCCTGCTATGGCCTTGAAGATACCTGCCAAAAGAATATTTGGTGATAATTTCGATCCAGGTAAGCAATAACTTTATAAACCAGCTATTAAATGAAAGCTGAAGTTTCAAGTAGTTAAAATTCTAGAATTTTTTTTTTAGTAAACATTTTTTAGTAAAAATTCTAGAATTTTTTACAGTGTCTGTTTTTAAACTTGACTAGCCAGGACTTTTTTTTTGGGGGGGGGTCTGGTCATGGGGCCTCAACTCTGGGCCTGGGCGCTGTCCCTCAGCTCTTCAGCTCAAGGCTAGCACGCTACCACTTGAGCCATAACACCACTTCTGGCTTTTTTTTTTCTGCTTATGTGGTGCTGAGGAATCGAACCCAGGGCCGGCCTCATGCATGCAAGGCAAGCGCTCTACCACTGAACCACCTTCTCAGCCCCTAGCCAGGACTTTTAAGGAAATAGAAGCACAGTTAGATTCATTCATCTGCCCAGGATTTATATACAGGTAATAAAAAAAAATAAAAGCAAAAGTATTGGAGGCATAGCTAAAGTGGTTAGGGGTGCTTGCCTAGCAGGCATGAAGCCTTGAGTTCAATCCTCAGTAATACCAACAAGAAAATAAAAAAAGAAGCCATGTGCAATAAGAACATTTTTTTTAACTTGACAACAAGACTCAAAGTCAATACCCTATACTTTCAATCGTTGCTAGCACTCTACCAACTGAGCCATGCATCTAACCCCAAGAACTCCTTTCATGAAACAGCTATAATAATTTCTAAAATAAAGTAGACATACAGAGAAAGACAACCAGAGGTACCTGAAATGTTAGGACTGAGTGACAGAGAATTATTATTTGAACTAGCATAAAGACATTAAGCAGAATAAAACTGCTGGAAGCCGGGCGCCGGTGGCTCACGCCTGTAATCCTAGCTACTCAGGAGGCTGAGATCTGAGAATCGAGGTTCAAAGCCAGCCCGGGCAGGAAAGACCGTGAGACTCCTATCTCCAATAAACCACTAGAAAGCCGGAAGTGGTGCTGTGGTTCAAGTGGTGGAGTGCTAGCCTTGAGCTAGCTGAAGAGCTGAGGGACAGCTCCCAAGCCCAGAGTTCAGGCCCCACAACCGGACCCAAAAAAAACCCACCAAAAAACAAAAAAAATACACTAACTATAAATAGGGTTACAGGTGGACCCATTATAACAATGAGATGTACAAGATGTTATGTCAAAAAACGAACTTTACAAGTTTGGCAGGGTAGGGATGGGGAGGGTGCAGAGGGGAAGGGATGGGAAGGGGAAACAGAGGAGGAGGCAACAATGCTTGATAAGAAATATACTCACTATCTTGCCCAAGTAACCCCTCTGTATGGCATTTTCACTATAATAATAAAAAATAACTATAGGCTGGAACTGTTGAGCAGTTCCAAATACTACTGGAAATAGAACTTGGATGAACACTTCAAAATAGATTTTTTTTTCTGATGTTGGGGTTTGAACACAGGGACTTGATGCTCACTCAGCTTACCTGCTTGATTGATGCTCTACCAATTGAGCAATGCCTCCAGCCTGTCTTTTGGCTGGTTATTTCTGAGCTGTAATCTCACAAACTTTTCTGTCCAGACTAACTTCAAACCATAAATTCTCCAGATCTTACCCTCCTGAGTAGCTAGGATTATAGACATGAGCCACTGTTGCCTGGCTTGCAAATTACTTCTTAAATAAACTAGAATGAATCAAATAGTATCTAGCTCCAGCACTTGCTGTCCCTTGTTAGACTTCTAACTTCTTATCTAGCATTTTACTGTAGCTTTATTTGTTGCAAGTAATATTGAAATGACTTGCAAGTTTTAATTGAGTTTTGAAAAATATTGTAATTTTAAAGTAACATTTATTTGTCCTTATGTAAAATTAGTACAGAGCTTAGAAAATCTGGATAACAGGTACTGGTGGCTCATGCCTGTAATCCTAGCTACTCAAGAGGCTGAGATTTGAGTACTGCTGTTAAAAGCCAGACCAGGCAGGAAAGTCCATGAGACTCATCTCCAGTTAACCACCTATGATCACCTACATGAAACACTCCATCTTTAATTCTTTTCAGGAGAAAAAAAAATCCTTAAATGTAATTCAGTTGTTATCATCCATCTTCCAAATTGCTCTTATGTTTCTTTTTAAAGTCTTGTTCTTATTTTATCATTTTCTGAATTTGTATTTTTATATAAATGCCTTTTAAAATATGGAAATCATATTACACGTGGCCTAGCCTTCCCTGAATTCAAAACACAAATTCTTTCCCTGTACTACTTTTAACATTTCGAATCTGAAAACATTTTAGTTCAGCTTTAATTTGTATTTTGTGGACAGTTTTCAGATTTTAACTCTTCATAGTAGAAATTGTCAAACACATATATAGTAGACAAACCAATTCAAATAATACAATGGTATCATCTCGCTTCAGTTACTGATACAAGCCTATTTGTCCTTATTCTTAGCCAGCCCATTATAATTTGACACAAATCTTAGATGTCATGTCTTCTGTAAATATTTTGGTAAACATTTTTAAAAGATAAACTATCGGACTGGGAAGGTGGCTCAGTGGTAGAGC